ATCTGTGCCAATTTCTAATTTCTAATATCTTGTGGGTGGTGTGGAGGGAGTTCCTCACACCTCATTCGGTCCCGCTGCCCATGTGAGGAGTCCTGGGTCCCATCCTATGTCCTTCCGCTCTCTGTGGGCGGTTTCTGTCGTTCCCGCTCCTCTGGCCGAGGGGAGCCCTTCCTCAGTGGCTTGGCCTCTCCCTGCCCATCTTTCAGTGTTCGTTTCTTCTTACTCACTTTTCCCTTCCCCAGAGCCCTCTGACTGTTCCTCCCCTTCTCTCGGGCAGTGGTGTGGCACAGGGCCTTAGAAAGCCACGCTGCCTTCCAGGCGTCTCCTCAGTGCTTACAGAGCAAGGAAAATGGTAAGACGTCCAGCCCCGTGGGAGGGGTGGCCGTGGGCTTTGCACTCCACACCATGGCTCCACCGCTCAGTTCTGGGCCTCAGTTTCCCCCTTCTATGTCAGTGGTGAAGTTGACATACTACAGGGCTGTCCTAACTCCCACAGGAGCTGCCTGGGTAGTGCCAGTGCCGTACCCATCCTGAGCCAGGCCCAGGGATGGGTTAGCTGTTACTTCCTCCCTGGGTCATTGGTGTGGAACTGGGGTACGGACTCAAGGATCCCAGTCCGGGAGCTTTTAGCCCTGCTCCTGGGTAGGGTGATCTGGAAAGCCTCCAGGTGGCATCTCGACGGCTCTGGGTTCTCTCAGCACAGGGGCTGGGGACCCTGAAGGGCACGGATTGAGAGACTGTGAATCATTGGGACCCCTGGGTGGGCTGGACAGTTCCTGTGGACACCTGTTGACTTTTGTGTGGAAGGACAGGCGGCTGTCCCCACCCAATGGTGGGGGTGATGGTGTTGGTGTCCTTTATCCAGGGCCCCGTGGGAGCCAGGCAGCGAGCTCAGTGTGGATCTAGGTTGTCGTGGATGCCCCTGAGACCCCAAGGAGGAAGCCCTGTCGTTCTCCAGAAGAAGAGCCAGGCTGTGCCGCCAGTGAAGGTCAGCTCGGGATGCGGAGCTGCTGAGCTCTGGGCATGAAATCGTGTGACCTTCCCTGAGTGACGGCCACAGAGACTTCAGTGACGATGCTCATCCACAACTCCAAGCCACACTGGTCAACCTTTCGCCACCATTACCTAATGTTACCACTGGTCACACTGATTTCACCCAAGTGGCTGCTGTGTGGGAAGAAGTGAGATAAGACAGTCGGGAGGGCGGGCGTGGTGGCTCCTGCTTTCAGTGTGTAGTGCCAGCTTCAGAAGAGTGAAAACTTAGCAGATTTGCTTAGGTAACTTCTTGAAAAACCTTTCAGGAAAAACCTCACATCTTTAATTCCTGTCTTGACTGCCACAGTGACCAGGGCATGGGTCAGATTAGGAATCAGAATGACTGCTGGCCATGGTGGCACACACCTGTAATCCCAACACTCAGGAGCCAGAGGTAGGAGAATGGCTGCCATTTCTAGGCCAGCCTAGGCCATACAGTGAGTTGAAAGACAGCCTGAACTATATAGCAAGACCCTGTCTTTAAAAAAGAAAAACAAAAGTAGAAACCAGAATGACCCTGCTAAGCGGCTCCTTTCACAGCTAGAGTGTGTCTTACTGCTTCCTGCCGCAGGACTTTTGCACAGGCTCCTTTGTGCTTACCGCACCCTTTCCTCCTTACCCTTCCTACTCCACTGTACTAATTTACTCTTAGGGTTCATATCAAAGACTTAATTCCTTAGGAAAGCACTGCTGACCCTCCCTGGCTACCCTGTATGCTGTTAGGAGAAGTAGCCATGCTTATTCAAGGCATCACGGTTGTAGTTGTTTCTAATTTGGTGGTGTTGGCTTCCCTTGCTGGACTGTGAGCCCCTGAAGGCAGGGAACACACTGGTCTCAAGTGGGTCTCGTATGCCTGGCACCTTATGCTTGCTAACACATACTAATCCTGCCCACTGCGTGGGTGATGGATGAGCCCGTTTCCTTCCCCTCGGCGAGGGTCGTAATCTCCATTGAGCAGGAAAGAGGATTATAATTACGTTTATAAATCTCCCTTGAGCCTCTTCGGCAGAGGACCCACAGGTATGGTGGCACACAGCTGTCATTCCAGCACCCAGGAGGTAGAATCAGGAATACACTTAGGGGAGCGTTTGGGAGGCTGAGGCAAGGAGATCACCACAAGTTTGAAGGCAGCCTGGACTACATAGCAAGACTGCCTCAAAAATCGAGGGGCTGGGGAGCAGGGGAGGGGAGGGGAGAAATTAGAATCCAGCCCTATAGGCACGCACTAAAGGCTGAGGGTTACAAGAGCTTGGGGTGGTTCCAGGAGGCCAAAGAGTTCTTTTAACATATTGGGGCTACAGAGAGTAAATTATTATTAGAAACTGTGTTCCTTTTGGTTGGTTGCTTTTGATTTTTACTGGTCTTGAAATCACTATGTAGTCCAGGCTGGCCTCAGTCTTGTGGTGATCCTCCTGCCTCGGCCTCCCACGGGCCACACTAAGTGTATTCCTGGTTCTTACCCATCCCGTGACTGGGCGCCCCAGTCAGGTCCGCAGCTCAGTTGCCAGTGCCCACAGTGACTTATTTGTATATAAACAGTTTTCCCCCATCAGCTTCTCTTCACCAACACCCGGAGATAATGATATACAATCTTTGTAACATTACAGTCAGCGCTTCAAAGCCGTTCCATTGCTATAGGAGTGTTTGTGATGTGCTTATTGCTAGGATTTCGTGAGCAGCAAGCTCCAAATTGCAGATGATTGGGCTTTTGAAGCGGGGAGCAAGAGTGTATGTGTGATCTTGCATTAAAGAAAAACAAAACAAGCCTTTGAAAAGGGAAGTTTTCTTGTGTGGAGTTGTTTCCTAAAGTCGAAGATAAGAACTACTTAAAAGCGGGCATTTAGGGCGAGCAGCAATTTTTTTCCCTAGACGTTCAGATGGGTGAGGCTGTGGGTAGGCAAAGGCTCCTGGAGCTGACGGCCACAGACAAAGGATTTCTCAATTTTGGGGGGAAAAAATCACTTTTGTAGCACTCTATACAAGAATAAATTCAGCGACCTTTTTACCATTTGGAAAGTTATCTTTCTGAAACATTCCAGTTGTTTGTTTGTTTGTTCCTAGTACTGAGAATTGAACCCAGGCTCTTCACACTGAGCTACGTTCCAGTCCTTTTTTATTTTTTATTTTGGAGAGAAGGTCTCACTAAGTTGCTAAGTTCCCCAGGCGGAACCTGAATCTGGGGCCCTCCTGCCTCAGTTTCCCAGAGTGCTGGGATGATGAGCATGTGCCAGCAGCCACACCTCCCAGTTCATTTTAGTAGAGAGCTCCTTAGGAGGCAGCCTGAGCTCAGGCCCCTGACGTGAGAGCAGCGAAGCCCCAGGTGGTGCAGGACGGGCTCTCTGTGAGCCTCACAGCTGTCGCCTGAATGCGGAAGGTTGGTGCCAGCATCAGACAACCAAAGCCACGCTTTCCCAAAGTCCCACCACTATTCTGCTTCCCCGAGAGACCGCTACAGGACTAACTCACCGCAGGCCCGAGAGCGACTCTAAGATCGTTACTCCTGGCGTCCCTCTCTGAGCCCAGCCACCCGCCAGCCCCAGGTAGCTCAGGCCGCATGCACGGCAGAAGTGTTCCCGGAGCCCTGTGCCTGGCTGTGTCATGGTCCCCTGTCCCCGAGAGAAGCGCAGAAAGTGAGAGCACAGTCTGGTTCCATTGTCCACAAATGGCCTCGTGCTTTGTAGAGTTTCTTTCCATTAGATTTTTCAGCGGTCCTTTTTAGTGTGTCTCATAAACATATTCATCTGTGATGGTTTAGAAATTAAAGTAACAAAAAGAAGCATTCATCAGAAGGAGTTTAGAAGCGCTGTGCAAGGTGTGATCAAAAATACAGTGCGTGTTTACGCGTTTAAAACTCAGTGCAGTGAAAGCCAGGCTACCACGAATTCCCCACGGAGCACCATCCCTCCGTCTGAACGCTCGTCCTGTCCGTCGTTCCTGCTGCTCTTTGCAGCAGCTCTGGAGTCCTCTTTCCAGGGCGTCTGTAGCTGTGCTCTCGTGGCTGCCTCTGCGTACTGAATCCATTCAAAATGGTCACCTGGCGTGGTCGTGTTGATGTTTAGAAGAGCCAGGATTCTCGCGTGGTGCCAGGTCCAGGGAGTAAAGTGCTTGCGGGTCCCGTTTTTGTGCACCACCTTTCTGTCTCTTGGCACTTGACAACAGATTTTTGATCGCCTTACAGAAAGATATGAAAGGGAACGTCCAGAACTGCTTCAGAGAGTGGAAAGCAAGGGGCTGGGGAGACAGCTCGGTGGCACAGTGCCTGCCTGGCAGGTGTGAGGTCATGAGTTCGATTCCCAGTATCCAGCCCCCAAAGCAAGGAGAAGTATTTTGAGGGAAACTCATGGCAGTAATTTTTAAAGTTACTGTAATTTTTAAATTTAAATACACACTGCAATTGTCTTAAGTTGTTTAGTTTTAAAAGTTGCCACAACTTTCTTGTCCCTGCCCAAACAAAGGACAATGGGTGAATTTTGGGAAATCATAGCACTTCGCAAATTACGTTGAGGAGAAACACCCCATTTCTGAAGTCAGGGACTGCATTTAATTCATCTCAGTGGCCTCAGTTCCTCGCCATTGTAGGTTTTATGGCTTTGGACAGTTTGCTGAGTGAATGCCTGTCCTCCTGTCAGTGTGAGAGGGTGTGTGGGTGGCGTTGGAAACTTCCTGAGCTTTCTGGTCATGTCCAGTGGGGGGTGGTGATGGTGAGCTGTGAGCAGAAGATGAGGAAGTAGCTCAGTCTGATGATACCACCCCTTACCCCAGCTATTCAGGAGGCTGAGGCAGGAGGATCTCGACTTTGAAGTTGGTCTGGGCTACACAGTGGGACCTTGTCTCAAAATCAAATTTAAAAACAGACAGCTGGGGAATGAGGATGTGGCCCTGGGTTCGATCCCCAGCATCACAAAGACAAAACAAAACCAAAAACAAGATGAGGAAGTGACCCCTCCTTCTCGTTTTCCCCGCAGGTCTCCTCTCCCCACATGACAGCAGCATGACCCGGCGGCCGCAGGAGAGGTCCCTAGAGCCAGGCCCCCCGCTCAGCCGCCTGCTGCCCCAGTCCAGGTGAGCCTGCTCCCTTCTGCAGGAGGCAACGGTGTCTCATCCCAGCAGAGTGTGCTTGTGTAGTCCCTTGCGTGTGCAGGAAGAACAGGGTGTCCCGGGATGCAGGGGACCTTGGAACTGTACCAGACAGGCAGAGACCGGGGCTGCAGGTCGCATGTCTGAGCTGGGCCCTTGGGACTCCTCTGCCACCACCTGCTTCTGGGACCTGGGTCAGGTCTTCGGGGCAGTTTGGATGGAAGAATCTCCGGGTGAGGACGGTATTGGAAACACTGCTGATCGCAGAGCTGGCCTCCCAGGATGGGCCCGAGAGAACCCTGTCCCATGCTGGGCCCTTGGGCGATCGGCCAGGCCCATTGCTAACCAGTGCTGGGCAGGTTGGTATTGGAAAACCCCCTCCAAACATGGGGACACAGTCTACTTCCTGTTGCTGATCCTTGCTCTGTCTAGTTCCCCTAGATGGGATTTGAACTTACCGTCCTCCTGCCTCAGCCTCCCAGAGTGCTGAGATTACAGGCACACGTGGCTCTGCTTTGAAAAACCAAAACTGATTCGCTTCTTGGAGATGTTGCAGATGCACGCCGTGCTGCTTTTGTATATTCCTTCTTTACATTTTCTCTCCTTCCACTTTTCTTTTCTTACATGTTCCCTAATGACTTGAAAACTGGTTTCTTTGTCGCATTTAGTTTTCTGTATGCAGTCACGGAAGTAAGTTAGTCCTCTGGCTGTTCAGGTCATCTCTCCCGGGGCTCCCCAACTCCGGGGAGGGGACTGGTACTGCATGGTGGCAAGAGGTGCAGGGCAGCGTCCTCTGTGTGTGTCACCACCTGAGCTCTGTCTCCTGTCAGATCAGCAGCGTGAGACGAGCGCAGACCCGACTGGGAACTGTGAGTCGGGTGTCCTCTGGACGAGTCCTGGAACTCTAACTCCCCCAACCCCCTCCTTGGGAGCATCATCTTTCACAGAAGCTGACCCTGGTGCCAGAAAGCTTGGGGGCCTCTGATCTATCCCAGGGCTGCATCTCCTTCTCTGCTGGTGTCTGACGGGTGGGTTGATTCTTAAGAGAAATGCGTTACAATCTCCCTGGCAGTGCTATGCTGGCTTCCTCTACCCGCGACCTCTCCTGACTTACTATACGACTCCCAGCTTACCTGCGTTCTCACCCAGTCCTATTTTCCCCTACAAATTAGACACCCTTATTTTATACACTTACTATAAATTTACCCACTTGTCAATATTTTTCTCATTATTCTTTCATGAGCAGGGGAGTCATTTTCCTTCTGCCGGAAAGAAATCCTTTGGGATTATCCTTTAGTGAGGCTCTGTTGATGGCAGATTCTCAGGCTCTTCCCGTTTGGGTTTTATTTTTTGTTGGTTTGGAAATGTCTTTATTTTGCTCTTGGTGCTGCAAGGTGGCTTTCCTGGATGTGTTGGTGGCTTGGTCATTGGCCTCCAGCCTCCAGCCCTGAATTGAGAAGTTGGCTGGCAGTGTGGCTGGCACCTGTTCCTGTAGGCTGGCGCTTCTGTCTGATTGGGTGTTTTTTGGTGTCCTGCAGAATCACGATGTGTCTAGGTGTACGTTTCTGTCTCGCTTCTGCTTGGGTTTCTCCTGGAGCTAGAGAGTCCTGTCTTGCAACGGTTTGGGAAACTCTCCCCCCTCATTTGTCCCCCTCCTCTGCCTGCTGCTGGGGCCTCAGCGCCGCAATTCGAGCTGCCCACTTTTCTCTCTGCTTTATACCCTTCACCTGTCTCTCTGTTTCTTTGGTCTATTTTCTCTTTAGCTCACTCAATCTGTGTTTTCAGCGCTGCTTACTGCATCCATTGAATTTTTTCATTCCCTTTATTAGTCATTTCTAGATGTTCTACTGTGTTATTTTGCAGATTGCTTGGTGACTTTCCAGGTCCCTCATTTCTTGCTCATCTTTGAAGGTGGTAATTGCTATAAAATAGTAAATTCACTATTTGGAGATCTTATAAATCTCACGCCTGGTGATTGCAGGATCTGGATGCTTTGCAGGTCTGGTTCTGGCGCTGGTTGCTTTCGCCGCCTTGTTCCAATCCAGCTGCTCATTCTCCTTGGAACTGTTCTTGAGAATCATTTGATGTGTGTGTTGCAGTTGTTTTTATGGAATGCAGGGTGGGGATGGGGGTGGCTACTGACCCCAAAATGCTTAGAATTCATTCTCTACCTAAGGCTTTCTGGCCACACACGCAACGTAATTCAGACTGCACACCTATGAGAAGTCCAGGATATGGTCACACAATTTCAGGAGAGACTTTTTCCCAGCCCAAAATGAAATCTCCCTTCAGTCCCCTTTTTGTCTGTGTGCTTATTTCTTGGTCCCCATGAATGGAGCCCATCGGAACCCCCACCTTGTTGGGGGAGACATCTCCCCAGGCTTTGAAACCTGTGCAGATGTACCTGGGAAACAAGGAACCTCCAGGGTTCAATGCAAAGTCTGGGGGTAAAAGCCAGCTTTTCTGCTAAGCCCCTGGCTTCTGGGGAGTGTTTGGTCTTTAAGGAATCTCTCACTGTATCACAGTTCAGCAATGTGAGATTTATCCAGGGCATTTGTAGGAAGGCCAGGGAGGGCGTCGGGCCTGTGATACTGCCAGAAAGTTTGCCTTGGCTTCCGAATTTCCACAGTAACCCTTTTGGATGGGAATTTCTGTTCCTTTTTTACAGAAGAACAAACTGAGCTCAGAGAGGGTCTGCAGCTGACCCCCACCAAGACCTGGCTGGCAGGGGAAGGATTGAGAATGGGCTTTTCCCCTCTCCTGGCCTCTTCCCCATCTTCCCTCACCCCAGGAAAGCTGTGGATCACTGGGCGATCAGCTTTATGCTCACAAAGGATGTGAGTTTGTACCAGGGTGCTTTAAATAGCTGGAAAGCTTTGTGAAATTTGTTTATGAATCTATTGTTTATCTTCCTTGCGAGAGGAAATGGCTTCTGCATATATTTGGCTCACTCCCCGGGGCTCACCAGCGACTTGCCTGCTTCGTTCCACCCCGCAAGGGGCTCCTGGACCCCACGCAGGCCACGGCTTCCTGTCTCCTCCTTTCTTCTCTGCCCATCCCTCCTTCCTGCAGCAGGGGCAGGCGAGTCCTCAGGCCACACTGATTTGAATTTGGGGCCAGGGAGCAACAGCTGAACTGGACCCCAGAGCCAGCACTTGTCAGCTTCTCATCTCTGGAGCCTCAGTTTCTCCATCGGTCACCTGCTTTTTTGGAAGTAGCTCTCCACACTCGATCAGGACACTGTGACCGACAGTGTCAGTGATGCTTTTGAATGGTTGCTTAAAATGGGACAGAAGTGGAGGCAGACATTAGGTGTGAATGTGGATCCGCCCACCCCATGCCCGCCATGCACGCGTACTGGCTTCACTATAACATTCCTTGAACTGCGTGTTTTTAAAAATAATCCTAGTGCTGTGCATCTGTAGTTCCAGCTAGCAGGAGGCTGATGCAGGAGGGTCCCTTGAGCCCATGAGCTCAAGGACAGCCTGGACAACAAAGCAAGACTCTGTCTTAAAAATAAATAAAATAACCTATATGAGACAGAACGCAGGCCCAGAATGGAGACAGAACGGAGGCAGGAGCTGAGGCAGGGCCCCTCAGTCCGCATCTGGACCTTGTTCAGAGCCGTGCTGGAGCCACACTGTGCCTCTCACCATGCACCCCAGACTGGTGGGCACAGTCTCAGCAGTGACAGGGCAGGGAGTAAGGGGCTTCAGTGTCCACCTGCCTCCGTCCTCGCAGCCAGCATGAGACTTTCTACTTCACCTCCTAGGAAGTGGCTTTCAATTACCTCTAGATCGGTAGCAGATCGCTTCTGATTTGATAGGGATCAGACAACAGCGTTTATCACCGTGCCTGCTGTTCCCACCGATGCAGGGCTCTGGATGGTGGGTGCTTTTTAGCATGGGCTAAAAAGTGTGCAGAGCTGCCAGTCCCTAAAAACGAGTCATAGTTTCAAACTCCTTGTAACCAAAGAGTGCATAAAGCATAAAATATCCTTATGCGACCATCAGAGCACATTCCATGGGGGGCCCTGTGCCCTTCCTTGGTGGTGGTGGCAGCCCCTGGGGAGACTGGAGGAGAGGCTGGGGCTGGCCCAGGGGTCAGGTGGTACGAGGTGGCTTCGAGGGGCCTCCGCATCCCAGGCAGAGGTAGTGGGGCCTGAGGGTTAGAGCTGCCTTCTCTTAAGGCCACAAGACCCAGCCGTTCAGCCCCTCAATAGCTGCCACCTCCCCTTGGCATATGGAAAGCCCCAGGAGTCCTGCAGTTCCCCTTTGCCTGTGTCGCCCCCTGCTCCCTAAGTGTGATGACATCTCGTGAAGGTTGCTAGGCGGCAGGACATGGAGGTGGTGGAGTCAGCAAGGGACTTCTTGGTGCTCCCAAAGCTCCCAGGCATGTCCTGAAGTCCTCCTTCCCCACCCGCCTTCCAGCCCCACCAGCAAAGCTCCCCATCTGCTAATGGGTGAAGGTACACACCGCCTTCCCACCAGCTACTCAGAGCTGGGAGCTAGGTTTGATGATTGCAGAGTACAACCGGCCTTGCCCGCGGGCAGGCAACTGGTGGATTCCTTGTTCTCCACCGGGAGTCCCAGGATGAATTGTGTTGGTTGAGCCCTGAGTGTGAAGCAGGGTACAGATGAGACCGTTTCTAGATCCAGAGCAGACTGTCATGTCTGGGACCACCTGAGCAGCCTGGGATGCCAGGGTTCGGGTGGGTAGTGATGGGAGGCACCCAGGCAAAGGGCAGCCGTGCTTTGATAGTCACAGCAGTTGATGGAAATATATTGTGAATGGAGCCATCAGTTGTCTCCTGGGCGAGGGACCATCAGCTCCTTCTCTCTGTGGAATGGACGTCTGGAAAATAACTTGATAATCTTGACCATAACTGGGTGTGGTGGCACATTCCTGTAAATCCCAGCACTTGGGAGGTTGAGGCAGGAGTTTCATTGTGAGTTTGAGACCAGCCTGGGCTATAAAGTGAGCTG